CAAGCTTTCACTCGGGATTTTCAAGACTCTCGTTGATGACGTCAACAACCAATCCAAAATATCTTCCGGAAGACCTCGAACACTTGGATAAGCCCCTAAAACCGACCGAATCCGCGGTTGTCCAAGTGTACAAGCTTTTGCTGAACATATCGGAAGTCCTCGAGATGACGTCAGCACGGGAGGCTCTGGCGCTCTGCGGCTAAACAAACTGCTGCGCCCATCAATCAATTAAGTGCTCACCTCCACCTCCAAGCAAGAGCACGAAGATCTCTTCTCGGGTATGACCATTCAGAGCATAGCCATACAACTTCCGAATATAGTCCACCAGCTCAGAGTCGTGGTTGAAGATGTCGCTTAGGAAAGCATCAACGAGCGGAGTTGGGTACTCGATTTCCTGCAGAAAGAAATAAGATGCATCTTATGATGCAAATCCTCCAGCTTCTCGCGTGTTGCTTTAGCAAACAAAGAAAAGACTCCAACGCCAACAACAATGGATAATCTCAAAAAGACATTGAATGTGCAACACAGTTAAGGTAGATCTGGCAATTCAGGATGCCAATCTATCCTGCAGACGAAGTGTCAATTGCTGTATCCACACAGACAGTTGCAGCGAACCTGCTCGGCACCTGAAAGAGTTGTAAACCTCGTAAATCAGAGCATGCTTTGTCAAAGGCTTGGTTGTCGATCCAAGACAAAAGTGGGGCTCACCATGAAGTCCGTCTCCGCAATCTTTGAGCACATGTACTCGGGCCTGTGTGCATCGAGCATGCCGGTTCTCAAAAGGAGCACGCCATTCTTGGTGTTCAGTACATCCGGGTTTGCATCCAGTTGTTGGATGAAATTGGGGACAAACAGCTCCCCCCGGGCGAGGTCCAAGGTACTGCCCATCTCTCGGCTGTTGTTGTACGTGCGCAAATGCTTCAACTGCTGTTGTAGGACCTCTCGTTGTTCCTCATCCCGGGTTGTCTCAATCGCTGCGCTCAATTCGTCCCGCACTTGCTTGTAGACGATCCTCAGTTGATTGATAAGTACGTTCTTCACAAAGAATGCACTCTTCTCATCAGCTACAAAGCGCCGCCCGTCCCAATAGTGCCAGCATTCACCATCAAAGCACAACCTGCAAAGGCAACAACAAAGAGGAAATGAATGTCGGCTGTCCAAGTGTCCAAGGTTATTTTTAAAAAAATCTGGACTCCTTTCTGCTGACGTCACCATTGAAGCCTGAGTGCTACTAAAGTGATGGTAATCTACTCCTGTCTGGATCAGCGTTCAGTTAGTGTCCAAGCTGTCCAGTTTGGCAGTAGACGTATTCTCAACAGAGCAAAAGCACGATGATGACAGCGTTTGGTGCCCACACAAAATCGACGATGAACCTTGGACATCTGGACACGCAAAGACTGGCCCAAACACTAATGACGTTAGCAATTGGTGGTCGCGAGAAATGTTGGTGGTAGACCTTGGACACTTAGACACACAAGCTAAAACGGAAGCTTCTCGAATGGCAGCTTGTGCATCCGAGCAGACGTGAAGATTGCTAGACCCCGTCTGACAACAAAAAGGTTCGTAATGAGCCTTGGACACCTAGACAAAGCCGCAAAGACGGGGGGCTGAAATCTGATGACGTCAGCAGCTTCCACCCTCTGCTGGGCACGTTTCACAACCCTAGACGTTAGTGCGGGGGCGTCCAAGGCTCCTCGGCTAAACGTAAATGCTTCAAGCGTCCAGGAATACACTTCACCGCGCACAGAGAACTACTTGAGTATCCAATCCAAAACCGCCGTATGCTGTCCAAGTGTTTGAGAAGAGCCGTCGACAATTTAAAAGATTTTCTGAAGGTGTCGCTGAAGTGGCTCCTTGTGTATCTCGTAAAATTCTCACCTGCCGCTGCCTGCGTACATCTCACCGACAATCTTGCTGCCGCCGACGTCTCCCTCAAAGGCCCAGGCGTCCACGAATCTTTTGTGCAGGCTGTTGATCGCGCTGACATCATCAGCACCGAAAGCGCGAGTCTCGCCCCCACTCATCGCCTCCGAGCGCGTGAGCTCCCCAATCTTCAGCAAGGGGCGTACCCCTTGGCACTCCGAGCTGTTGCAACAATAGAGCAGGTCCCTCTTGCGCACGAGCACAGAGAAGTTGTTGGAACCGTCGTGGTGATTGCCGTACGGGCAGCGTCGGGGGGCAGCCACTCGAAAGACGTACATTGGCCCGCTGTCGCCCATCTTGAGGCGATCGAACCAGGAGGCGGTGTCGCCCGTGGCAGCCACACAGGCCTTGACGCGCTCCAAAACCGCTGCTGGGGGAGTCAGCCGAGGGTCTTCGATCGGACGAGGAGGTCCGATAGGTACAGTCTGCGGCTTACTGCATAAAAGCAAGGCGCTTTGTTGTAAAAATCCAGGGAAATTGGATTGTAGTTGCTAGCACCTTTCAAAGAACGGATCAGAAGTAGGCTTTGCAAACAAAGAGCGAGAGACGCCGAGTCTTTGGCAGAAGCAAGATCGGCAGTGCGCTTGAACCCAACAGAAACGGACCCAATTTCCAATCAGAGGAGTGTGGCATGTGCGCCACTGGTCGCCAGTTACAAGGTCTAGTGGCTATCATCGATTGATACCCTTCAAGTGGAGGCAAGTGCTGAGGACTGCGACAATTGGTGAGATATTTGCAGCAGCTCGATAAACATTTCAACGGTCTTGCTAACACTCCCAGATCTATAGACGCGTGGGGAGAGTAGATAAATTCAATGCTTTTCAATCGCCTTTGCTGACGTCACTTCTTAAAGACACCAAAAAGGTGCGCTGAAGCTTGGACAACTAGGACATGCTCAGTCAGCTCTACCGACTAAAACCACATGCCGAATCAACCAGTTTCTTGTATCAAACATCTGTCTGACGCAGAATGAAAAGAGCATCAAGTCACACGTACCGGGCCCCATCTCCACCCCGAGCCATCCGCCCACGTTCGCTTGGCGCTTCGCCGCTGCCGTTCAAGATGCGGATGAGCCAGTCTGGAACGGCCCGAAGATTGGAGCGGTCGGGAAGAATCTCCTCTTTCCACTCGTAGCTCCGACGGATGCCATCAACGCCCTTGTAGCTGCTGGGAGCGGTGTACAGCATTCCGCCCCTGCCACGTACAACGATGCCCACCGCTTCGCCCGAGTACAGAATTCTGGCCCTGTTGCTAGAGTTAAGCAGGCCAGCCTCCTCAGATTTGGACAAGGAAAAAAGAAGGTGCAGCCCCCCGTTGCCGGTGATTACATGGGGCGTGTCATCCAGAAAAACGTCGTTCTCCGTGACCATTCGTTCCAGCGCCTCAAAGCCCCCGTCCTTGACGTCCACGTCGAGCGCATAGATGTCAGACTGCTCCGTGACGATGGCGATGGAGTTGCGTCCAGGCTTGGCGAACTCCTGGAGGCAGTTGCCCAGGTTTACCTCCTTTCACAACTTGTCAGAGGCCCAATTGCATGGCTGCTTCCGGACTTGACCGTTTGAAAACGCCTTCTCGAAGAGGTCGTGGGTGACTGTCACAACGCCGAGGCTGTGAAAATGATGAGCGGCGGCCAGGATGGGGTCGATACTCGGTACAGGGGCCTCAAGAGCCGGGCTCGGTCCCTGCAGAGAGAAGAGCTGGACTTCAGATCAGCCTGCCCTTGACGAGCCAAGCACTTGCACTCAAGCACGCCCCGTCGGAAGAAAAGGTGACGTCAGCAAAAGTTTTTCACCAAAAAGTTCGGCAAAAGCTTGGACACGTGGACACACTTGTATCGAGTCTGGTCTCTCAAGTGTCAAGAGCACAGAAACACCGAACGACATTCCAGCAGAAATATGGACTGCACGGCTGTCCAGACTTTGTGGACGAGTCGTCTAGGAACTGGGGCGATGACGTCAGCAAGGAAATTCCCTCAAAAAAGTTTTCAGTAAACCCTTGGACATGTGGACAGTGTACCAATCGAAAATAGATTGTCTGAGAAAAGTGACAGGAGCACAGAGAAACTGCAGCGGATACAGGACTGTCTAGTTGTCCAGACATTGTGGCCGAGACAATCTCTGAGAATGGGGATGGTGACATCAGAAAAAGTTTCCCCAGAAAAAGTTTGGCAAAACCTTGGGACACTTGGACAATTTCTTCGCGGTCGGTTGATGATTCCAGTTCTACACCCTTGAAGGGAGCGCTAAGAGGTACACCTTGAACAACTTTCAGATACAGCAAGCAGAACTTTCAATTGCAGAGAGCGGGCATACCTGTTCCAGCTCCGTGCAATCGCGCTCGAACCCGAGATCGATGCGGCAGACCCCAAAGAACTCGCGCAGCTCCTCAAAATCACCCTCATCGTCCGAGTCCCACGTAGTATCGTTGTCATCAGGACGATCGCCCCACTCGCTCGACGTGGCAGACTGGTCTCCAACCTCAGAGCGCGACTCAATGGCTCTTTCTTCCGCTTCCACGTCCTCATCAAAGGGGGATGATGAGGACGGAGGTCGAATGAGTCGCTCGCTGTTGGGGAGACTTGAGGTAGGCTTCTCATGATTGGGAGGACGGGTGGAGGCAACTGCCATCTCGTTTGGCAGCAACGAAGAAGGCTGCATCAATAAAAGAGAAGCGCACAAGCTTAGGTTTGTAAACCAGCATCAGGAATGACGTTCAACCATCTCAATGCTGAATCAACTCTGAACATCAGGATGTAAGCTCGACATCTCCTGGCATCTACTTTCTACCGCCACGCATTTGATAATTGAGGGGTAAGATGGACGAAGTCTAACAGCCTCACACATGTTCCTTGATTAACTATTTCAATCTGCTGCTGAAAGATGGCTTGCTCGGGACAATAAATCAGCACGAAAAAACCACACTCTGAACTGTTACAGCCAGCTGAAAAGTGTTTCTCAAATTGTTTCGTCTGAACTTTCAGAGAGTAGAACTTGGCGCATCCTCCGTCTTCTATGAAGAACAGTCAGAGGAGTCGGCTTATTCTGAGTTGTTGATGAGCCTACCTCTGCATGATCACTACCAGCAGCTTTCCGTCGGGACCTTCTCTGTTCTTTCCGCCCTGTTTTTTTCGGTACAGACTCTGCGATGTTGCTGCCCTTCTCATCGTCGCGGGTCCTCTTCCTTCTTTCGACGCAGAAGTTCTTCTGGCCTTCAAGCAATTTGGCCGAATCAATCTGCAGAGGTTGACAGGTGGATTAACATCTTTGTGGCTAAGGGCAGGTCTGATGCTCGCTTGGGCAATCTCGAAAAAGTCTGATTGCAGCGGTTGCACCTGGACTAATCTGCTATTGCGTGCCAGCGCTCAAAATGCCCCAGGGATGCGGCAGCGCCGGATCATTTAAACGAAGGTTGTATCATGTGCTACGCCTGCTGCATACTGCTTTCACTAGGCTAACGATAACCCGGCTAGCAGTTTGACAGGAAGTAAGCTTTAGAAAAAAACGTTTCACTGACATGTGCCTCCCTTGCATTGTCAAGCGCAGCATAGAACACTGTGGATTCCCCACAGTCGCTCGAGTCGGCGTCATCGAGAAATTCCTCAAGCGAAGCAGCAGAGTCGCGGGCCAGCCACCGACCTGTCCTCGAACTCCATCCCTTCCAAGCTCTCGCCATCCTTTGCCTCTGAGGCGCTGTTTGGCTCCGACTCAATATTCCGGTCCACAGTTGCCTCCAATGACTCCGAGTCCGAGTCCGAGCTGCGGTTTAGGCTGGTCGTCATGGTTGGTTTGCTGCACGCGCCGGGTTCTATTGGAAGCTATGGCCCTTAGCACACTGTCGCTTATTCCAGAATCGGGCCCTCGCTCGCAAGTAGGTGCTGGTCGGCGCGAAACTGGGTCCGGAGTTGCTGAATGGGCGGGCGAGCCGGCTTCTATTGAAAGCTATGGCCCTAAGTACACTTTTGCTGTATCTAGAATCGGGCTTTTGCTTGCAAGTCTGCGCTGCTCGGCGCGTCACTAGGCCCGAAGTCCGGAGTAGGCGGCCTGCTGCTTGTTGTGAAGGTATGGAAGCTGGAAATGAAGAATGAAGAATGAATGAATGAAGATTTGCGACCCGAAATTCGGAATTTATAGGGTGCAGTCTGCCGCTCGGTCAGGACTTTGTCGACTCCCAAAGGCCTGAGAAGCGTCCACGTATCGAAAAGACGTCCACGTGTCGCAGATTCACGCTCATACGTACCGAACTCTCACCAGGATATAATACGTAAGTTAAAGTGCGGGCAGGGTTTTGGCGGGATTTCTTGCCCCTCTCACCAGATTACACTACGTAATTCAACGTGGGGCCGGAATTTTGTCCCTCCAGGCTCCGACTGTCCCACTCGGGAACTGACCCGGTCGGGACAGAGGTGACCGGCTGAGACGGAGAGGGGGGACACGTGGCGGCACGGGACTGGCCAATTTTATGCCGGTTTGGAGGTCACCCGTTACACAGGTTGAGCTGGCTAGTTGCTGAAATGTCAAGTGCGCGGCAGTGCGAGGCTCGCCGCGCGTTACCTTTGAGGTATGCCCGTGGCCATTGGTGTTCACTCTCTGCTGTTGCCCATGGTCTTCACCTCCTAGCATGGTTAGGGCTCTAGATACTAGAGGCGTGTCTTGGTGCTTCGAATGCTGAGCTCGGTGTGCCACGCATTGAACAGGAGGACTACGCAATTTGCAATGGGCCAAGCCACGTGAAGCTTGAGCTGGAGGCCTTCTGTTTCAGATTTCGATACAGTCCCCCTTTATCCCCACAAGAGGATAAAACCAGACTGCAGGAGCAGGGAAGGCATGAAGATTTTCTACATTGTTGTGGAGAGTGAAGCAGACCGGGTTAAGTTTCTTGATTGCGACACTTCGGCCACCATCAAGCAGCAGGCAGTCGAAGAGTGGCTGCAGGAGCGTTTCCAGATTGTAGTTGTTTTCTGTGGGATCAAAAGCAAGGGGTCTGGGATGCCTTGGATCTAACTGAGCGGCAGAGCTTTGAAGATGGCTCCCGCTTCAAGATTGTGCTGCCCCGCCTAGGTAAGAAGCCAATTCTCATTTCTTCTTTGTTTGCAGAAGAAGGCTTAAGCTGAGCTCGGTGTTTGGTATGGAAGTTTGCCTGGCAGAAGCATTCATACTGACTCTGCTTGCTGCATTAAACTGATCCAGGATGCTTGCTTTTTCTGTGAGTCAGCAGTGGCAATACATCCAAGCTCATTGTGGACATGCGCCACCTTAATTCTGTCTTATCTTGGCTGCTGAGTACCCCAAAGCGGGCTTGAGCATGGCATTGCTGCTGGTCATCTGAACCTCTGCAGCGTGCTTGTCGAAGACTCTATTGCATTCGCGCTGACAAATCAGTTTTGGCCTTGTGCAGCGGCTGCGGGTCCAAGCACCACAGGAACTGGTGAGTCACATGCTTCTCTGCACCCTTCCCCCCATGTTGCTATGGTAGTTCTCTCTGGAAGACTTTGTTGCTGCAGGTGGTTATGGTGATCCACTTTGGTATGTGTTTGGATAGCTCCCTTTGCTTCCCAGGTTGTTTCATTTGTCAGGCAAGGCGTTGCTTCAGTTTGAAGGGTGGAAGCAGATTTTTGCAAGTGCCGCTGCTTCCGAGTCTGACGGGTTTGGTTTTGGAAGGAAGCTCTCACAAGAATTCAGCACATATCCAATGGCTATCGTGCATGCCAGTCAATTGGCAGAGTGCCGGAGTTCATGGTGGGCGCAGTGACTCACACCACCCCTTCCAGTGCATTGGTGCCTGTTTCCGGAGTTTGTCC